GTTAGCTAGGTAGTTAGTACTATTAGAGCTGATCCTGTAAAATACAGAAAGAAAGCCAACATCGAGACCTCGGTCAAAATTCAAAAGAAAAGTGTGTTTTCTAGGTAAACTCCACCCGATGACGTGTGTGGAGCTTTGCTCGGGTCTTCACACTGTTGGGCCACGGAGTCATGACGCTCTCAACAGGTGGGCTGGAAGCACGGTGCCCTCATCGAGCGCTTGGAGTCTCAGCGAAAGGCCCGATGAGAGGGCCATGGTTGATAGGTCTCAAGGTCCAAAGTAACAAAGAAGTAACAAAGAGAAGAATCAACAAGTAATTGCAACCGCTAATTAGCTAATTCTGTGTTTGTTTCTTTTTTTCCCATGTTGCTTGGAAGAACGATTACATTTTGTTTGGTTCAAACAAAGTTACGGAGCAGCTCTTTCTGTTTTTTTTTTGCGGGTCGATTATTGTATGGAAGATCTTGCGCTTTTATACCTAGCAAGCAGGGTCCGATGGCTCCAGTCAGGGATGGAAGCTGTTTGTCATATTGGGTTTCCTATGGTTCCAGGTGATGGAAGGCTTTTCTCAATGCTCTGTCCGGTTCAGGTGAAGAGTGAGGCCTTCTACAAGAAAAAGTCTGCGACACTGCGCAGCAAGAATGAGGCCGACGTGCTTGCGAGAACGGCTAGGAATACCTTTTGCCTCTTCGTCTCTTTTCTTGCTTGAGGGTATGAGAAGCCATTCAGGGATGTATTGGCCGCCATCATCATCATCATCATCATCATCCTTTGACAGGTACCATTGTAGTATCATTGTGGTTTGAATGATTGTAGGCCAAGAAGGCGGTGAAGCTGTCAGCGGACGAGATGAAGGCATCGGCCAGAACAAAAGACGCTTTGGAATGATCCGCGTGGATTTAGAACATGCTCTGTAAAGGGAAAGGCATCGAAGGAGACAAACCTTCAATACCCCTTTTACGACAATTTGGTGCCAGGCCGACAGAATGAGGTATTGTATTACTTTGTTAAGAATGAGGATTAATGAGGCAGAGATATATGATATATGCAGCATATGCATATATATATATATATATGTCATATGTGTATGTTTTGTTCGCTCATGTTTCTTCCCAACACCACTTGAGGTCTTGGAGTCTGCAGGATATGCATGAGCGACACAGATCTGAGCCGGGTGGAAAAAAGGGCACTGTGAGACAATCTTGCAGAACCGTGCGACTTCTCCAGCATTTTTGTGGATCCTTTCTTACAACGTTGAACACTTGTGAGTGTAAGCCAGAGAAAATAAAGTTAGGTGCCCTTGAGCCATTATATACGCTCAGAAGCAACGCAGATGATGACATGAATTGACCTGAATCATGATTTAGGAGCTTGTTGGACTTCTTTTACTTTGTATTATCAGATGCCCATGACGCACAGCCCCAACATCCAAGACCTGGAGAGCCTCCAACAAAATTAATGTGGGTTGGGACAAACACCGGAAATGGCGAGAGAAGACCTTGCCTGTCGAGAGAATCACGGCAATGAACAACCACGAAGTCATGAACCACGAAGTTTGTTGTTGGCATAACAACAGTGGTAATTAGTATGTATATCTACAATGATAATATTACCGGTGCCATGCACAAATATCATGGACACGCAGTGGAAAGAGCAGCTCGTGCCATTGATTGCAGAAGATTTTGCAGCAGCAGCCATGCATGTCCATTTCAACCTGCTGGTCTTTGGCCTGACCTATACGTGGGCAGAGGCTTTCCTTCTTGGACTGCATCAAGTTGCCCAATAATCTTTGTTTTGTTTTTGCTTTAATCCTGTCAAGGAATGCATAGTTCAGATGTTGAAGCCGCTTTGTTTGATGTCTCAACATCCCTGGCCCAGGCCCCAGTCCGCCTGGCGATTTACGGAGCCTGCGTGGAGTCTGTCAATACGGACAGGGGTCAGCTGTCGGCTGTTGTTTCCAGCTGTGGCAAAGAGAAACCGTTTGGTCACGACAGTCCTATGTATGAATTTATCATTAATCTGCTAGAATTACTGGTCGAGTCGTATATTTAGTACCGATAGAGGGTATCGAAAGATCTCATGCCCATTCCGATGTCCAAGACATGTGCATGGTGTTGCGCAACAGAGTGGAACATGTGGCAAACATCAAGAATTCATAGCTCAGGCAGTACTGAATTAGTTCGCTTGATCGCCCGAAGGAGTATAACTTGCAGGGTAGAACTGCCAGTGGAGCGCCTTTTTACAAGGGCTTCAACTCCAAGCTGCACCTTGGATCAAGGTTATGCACCAAGCACAGCTATCCCAACCAAGGAAGCCCTGAGTTAGATGAATAGTGGTTTATTGACCTTGAGCCTATTCTATAATTCTCCTTGTTCTAGGATGAAACCTTAAGTGGGTTGAGCCACTCATTTCCTTTGGACCTTCTTGGACTGTTGGATTTTGGTTGTTTGGTTTATTGATGTTTATTGCGCCCGCGCTTCCCCTGGCTGAGCATGCTTCGTTTCAGCTCAGGCATATCTACTTTGATCCAAGTTGTGATGGCTCCACCAGCGATTCCAGGTCTCCAGCGATCAGAGATGCTTTGGGGCTAACACCACACCTTTCTGGGCTGCCCTTGGTAGGTGACACACACAACAAGTCTTTAATAGCTTTCAAGTATGAATCAAGCTGTGAGAAGATTTTAAGTGAAATAGTCGCATAGGCATAGGAATGATTCTGTCGCCTAGCAACATGAACATGAAAGGATGGCTGTCATGGTGTTAGGTGGATTATCGACCTCTTAGACGGCACACCGGACCGAAACCAATCGCAGGAGACATGGCGCCGAGAAACCATAGTAGCGGTAGCGTCCTTGCTCCTAGTAGTAAGGCCAGGAGCCCCTAGTAGCGTCCTTGTTCCTAGTAGTGATGCCCTTAGCTCCTAGCAGCGTCCTTGCTCCTATTTTGCAAATCCTTTTCAACATATGATATTTTATAGTTGTGAAATGCCGTCTTGATAAGCAATAAGTGAACTCTCTTCTCAAGTGCAAAACTTGGATTCAATTGGCATGCTGCAACTGTTTGCCGTGTATCAGCTACGTAACATCCTCTTGGATTTGGCCAGTCAATTTTTTCTTTTGCACATGTTGCGCGAAGACAATAGAAAATTAAAAACACCTAGCATGAGTTGCCACATGTGACCGTTTGGCCTGTAGTACAGTAGGTAAAGCACACTTGAGCATGAGCTGGTGACACACTGCTTTCAATCAATCAGCTACTTCAACTTTTTTGGAGAGGTGAGAATTGGGTTTCATGTTGCGGCACATTTTCTTGCTTGAATTTTTCTTCCTTGGATGAGGACTTGGATGACAATCTTCTTTGTACGCACATTGCGTACATTTCTTCAACGGATACCACCAAACCACCAATTGGTGGCTTGTCTCAGACCGGCTGACCCAGTTTCGACTAGGGTCACGAAGCTACTAGGAACAAGAAGCTACTAGGGGCTCCTGGCATCGCTACTAGGTGCAAGGGCGCTACTAGGAGCTCCTGGCCGTACTACTAGGAGCATCCTTGCTACTAGGAACAAGAAGCTAATAGCGGCCAGTCGTGTGAGGTGAATTTCAGTGGATCATGGAATGCCCCACTGGTTCACAGACCGTGAGCCTGGAGCTGGCGGAGGCCAGTCACGTCATGCCCATCCATTGGCTTTGAGATTGGTCACAGTTGTCACCGGTTGTTTTTCATGTGTTAATTTTCAAGGAGTTGTTGCCGATTGTTGCCTTTTGGAACCGGCGTCTGAAGTTGGATCAAATTTTGCAGGTAGATCGCGCTGGCTACCAGCAGCTGAGCATGGCAGTAGTTTTTGTAGGTCCTATTTTTTCCAGTTACCATCCTGGACTGAACTAGAAGAAGGCTTCTTCAAACAGCCCTTAGAATACTCTTTGCTACAAAAGTGGCCTGCGGTCATAGAGCTCACTACCCATTCCTACTACAAACAAGCATGCTTACTGCAACTGCCCTGTTTCTATGATCCTCACATCCCAGGATTCCGCCGGCCTTTTTTTGCGCCTACAACTGCGGGTCGGATCGGGGTGAGGTGCGGAGTCGCGATTGCATCTCAAATCCATTCTTTGTGACTTTTATGATTTTTTAAATCCTTGCCTGTGTCGCCTGTGCACATTAACAGCAAGCTGCTTGAGGTGACGCGGCCTGGCCAATGCTTTGTAAAGAGCGAAGTTTTTGCGACGCGCGGCCTTGAAGTGATGTATCGGTCGTTTTGACGGGTAGAGGACGCTACTAGGAGCAAAGGGCATCGCTACTAGGAGCAAGGACGCTACTAGGGGCTCTTGGCCTTACTACTAGTAGCAAGAAGCTACTAGGAGCTTTTTCCATTTGGGGTGAGATCTTGCACATTCCTTGAAACTTGAAACGAAGCCGGAAACCCAAAAACGAAGCCTCTTGGTGGGTGCTTGCGGGTCCTTTTTTGAGCTGGAAAGTTGAAGCTGAGAAGCCCTTGGATCGTAGCTTTGTCGTGTTTCCTGCGAACCTTTGACTCCCTGGTCCTTTGCTTTCGATTATCTTATCTTGAGGGTTTGGAGCCTATGAAATGGGGTGTCTTAAAACGATGCCTACACAAAGCCCCAAACGAAGTCAAAATCAATGAAAAGGTGTCCTTTGTAGGCCCTGGCCGAAATCAGCTTGTGAGAACAAGCAGCACTTTTGGAGTGGTGCTGGTGCTGTACTAAACATTGTAAAGGTGCAGTGACTTTTGGTAATCTAACTCACCTGGTGAACAAACAGAGCATAGTAGCCTATATAACTAGCTCAATTCCAAGAAACCAAGCCGGACACCCAAAAACGAAGCCTCAGTCGAGGTCGCTCATGTACAACCTCAACAACACAACAATTGCTGTATGGCTGCAGGATTGGTAGTGAAACTGGACCTGGACCTACAGGTTTTGGCACAGCACAGCCCCATGGCCTCAAAGACTGCTCCCTTTTAGGCAACAACCATCTGAGGACTCGTGGTGTGAGCTGGGGATTCCTGGTGACGCGCATGTCGGAAGGCGATCGTGTCGCATTTCCTGTGCATTGATGTTGATTGTAGTTGCAAGAGCATTGGTTGTGGCTGTACGTGGATGGATTTTCAGCTGTGACGTGCACTGACAGTTTAACTATATATATAATTACATATTTCCTTTTGATATAATGTATATATGTATGTATGTGTTTCAAGTAAGGTGATTCAATTTCCAGAGTTTCCCAGCATGGACACTTGCCACTCTTGTGCCCGTGGCGCCAGTCCCAGAAGGGCTTTCAACCAACATCCCTCCGCTCATCACTGAGTGGGAAACCTACAGCCAGGGTGATATGACCTGGGAAGGCAGGTGGGGTGAAGGAGTTTATTGACGTGCGAGACCGTGTGAGACGTTCATCCTGATGTGTAACTTTCACTATGCAGCCAAATTGGCTGCTTAGAAGCCCCAGCTTTATCAATCATGCTAGGCTATAATCGATGCTGACCGAACTCTTTAGTGACACGAAGGTGAAACACGCTTGAGCTGCTTGAGGCGTCAAAAGGTGTTTAAATGGCATGTCTTGTGTGCCTCTGATAGGCTGGTTTTACGTCAAGGCGCCTCCAGCAGAAAGGTCAATGCTCATTGGCACCTTCGGCACTAATGACGATGTGACCTTGTACAGTTCATCCAGCAGGCTCATTTTGCTAGACCTGTGATTCCAAGGCAAAGTCTCGAATTTGTAGCTCGCAGAGACTGACAAACCAGTTGCTCCATATGGTGCTTATGATGAATTTTTAATCCATTATTGTTCATCCCTTCTTGTTACTACTAGTAACAAGTGCCACGCTAGTAGTAACAAGTGCCTTTCTAGTAGTAACAAAAAGCCATTAGAAACAAGTGCCTTACTAGTAGTAACAGGTGCCTTACTAGTAGTAACAAAGTTCGCTATTAGAATTAAATTCTGTGTCATGGTGACTTGGGACTTGAAGCCCACAATGCACGCCCAGTCGGCTGACCCTGAGAGGCGGCGGCATGGCGCCGTTTGGATTGAGAGCACTGGTCAAATTGGCATGAGCACCAATGCGGGGACGACCCTTGGATTGAACAATTGTTGGAACAATGCGGGGACGCCCTTTGTTGGATTTCTTGCTTGTAAAGAGTCAATAATTATGTAATTACACTTGCATATTTACCCACTGTCACACAGATGCACACGCACGGCACACGCAGAGATATTGTGGCTGGCGACAAACACAGACGTTGTCACTGTCATGTCCCATGAGCAAGGACCGAGAGCTGCATGGCCCCACTGCATGAGACATCATTTGGATGCAGTTGTCAGCATGTAGACACTGGTCTTGCCCAAGGTCTAGTGGCTACATTGATGGGCCCAACCTTCTTGATGGCAAGTGGCCAGACAGCAACAGCATGTTGCGGCATTTTGTGGCCGAGGCCAGTTCCTATCCAACTCTATTTGATTGGCAGGTACCAGTACAGAACCTCGCATCCACAAGTGCGTTTGATCAGCTTGATTCACCTTTGTCATTTGGTCAAGTGTAACCTTTGTCGCTGTCTCGTTTTGGGCGCTTCGATTGACAACCTCCCTGCACCTGTCCCGCAATCTCTTACTGTTCAATGTGTTCAACCCTAAAGCCTTGCCGGGTTCCCCAAATGCTTTAATTTCGCTGTGGGGCATGTTTGGAGCGCCTGACAGTGCTGCCTCGGTGTTTGGAAACATTGTACATGTTGTGTGGTGTGCTTTCATAATTCCAAGCTTTGAGGTGGCAGGGCGTGGTCAAATCAAATACCCTCATGATACTGCATTTGTATCGTACCATGGGTTAAGTTTCCCTAAAATTCTAGGAACAAAGTCATTATGCGAGCGTCCTGCGTCCTGTAGGTAGTAGCGTTTTAGTAGCTAGCACCTTGTTCGTCCACTTCCTTACTTAATGAAGTTTGGCCATAGGCTAAAAATGAAAGATGGGTACGATTCTTTTTGTTCGATCAGATTCAGATGCTTTCGCCCTTTGGGACACTGGCTCCCCTGTTGGAATGGTTCCATGGATGGGCTTCCTGTCGTTCGGGGTTTTGAGATGGTGAAATTTGAGATGGTGAAACATTTTTTGTGTCAAAGGCGCCACCTGAGCTTCCAGTAGCTTCACCCTTGCGACTGGGAGAAGGGGGAGGAGAGGAGGCTTTTTGTTGGAGAAACCTGTCAGCATGTTTGTTCCAGGCTTTCGATCAATGTGGCTGGAATCACATTCCAGTCTCCGCCCACTTGTTTGGCACCTCTTGCAGAACCTACATGCCAGCGGGCACACCTCTAGACTCTAGACTTTCAAACTGCTGTATAGGACAAGATAATTTGGAAAGAGTGGTTGCAGCCAGAGCTGGGCCGTAGTTTCCATCTCGACTCCCTAAGGTGGCACCATGTGGCCGCCATTTGGAACCAGACTGCTGGGGGTGGGTCGAAGGTCACCAAAAGCTGCATGGCTGATCATGGCTGCAATTTTAGCCCCAAAAGCTGCATGACAAGGAGCAAGAAGCTACTAGGGGCTCCTGGCCTTACTACTAGGAGAAAGGACGCTACTAGGAGCAGAATACACATAGTTTTTGGGTGTTCCAAGGTACGACACTTTTTGATGGGCCAGGTGGACGGTATGCGATTAAGTAAGGATGTGCTGAGCTAATTACGACTCATTCAGGTTGTACTGAAAGCTGCTGCACAGTCTGACCTAAACAGTTGGCGATCCTGGTGATCCTCATTTTCAACTTTGATTGAAGATGTGCTTGCCAGCACATGGTTTTTAGAAAAGAGCTGCCGCCAGAGTTGCTTCAACGGCTAAGGTTTTAAGTTTATGCATGTGCGATATTCGACCATTTTTGGCCACTTGACTGCACCTCATTGTGTGTCGAGGAGGAAGATCGCTCTTTTAGTCACCATAGATGTTCCCAAACCTTATGTTTTGCGGTTCCCAGTCGTTGTTCGCATATCTTGATTCTTGGCTTTGAAGCAAGCAGCCAGGTCGTCAGGACATGTTTGCTGAGCTCACTGAGCGGATCCTGAATGCCACGTCCATCGAGACCAACGCCTCGAAGGAGGATATTTGGGTCACGCTCAGTGTCTCTCGGCCCGATGGTGTTGGATGGTGGGGCTTTGGGAGGCTCGGCCTTGGGAGCTCGGATGGTTGGATCGTTGTTGAACGAAGTATCTCGAAACGACGCAAGAAGACTCCAAATAAACACTACTGAATTGTTGGGCTTTGGCAGGATTGCGAAGCATTCAGTGTAAAGGGTGAAACATCTAAAGCAACTTCAGATGTACACGAAAGGAGGAATGTTTTACTTCAGAGTGAGACTAGTCAAGCTGCGTTTGAATGAGGATGAGCAGATCATCGGTGGTGAAGGAAGGACCAAAGTGTCCTTAGCAGTGCCTGGACTGATTTCATGGGACAGTGGACGAGAGCCATCTCTGATACTCTAGCGTTACTGTTTGACATTTTTTGATAGGTACAGTAATGGCCGAGCAGTGCACAGCGAGAAGAAGGGGGTACGAATACAAGTTCCATGAACATTCTTGCTATGTTGCCAGATTCTAGGTGTTCACCACACTTTTCACGTCGCAGAAGAGGTTCCTAGACACGATAGGCATACGGCATACGAGAGAGAAGCATAGCTCTCTTCACCCAAGCAATCAACGGGGTGGACACGTTGAATAGGTGAACTGCGACGTTAAGAACGCAGACATGACCCTGGCACGCTTAGTCAGCAGTTTAACCTTCGACGCTCGCAGCTTGTACTGACTTGAGTCACTTGAGCATTTCTTCTGTTTTTTTTTATTAAATACTATACTGCTATACTTGTATTTTGCATTATATTGCATGGAAAAGGAGATTGGAACCTATTGGACCGTCTGTCCAAGGCATGATGGGGGCACTCTTCAACACGACCCTCATTACCAACTCTTTTACAGGGCTCCCGCCTGTGGAAGACAATGTGGCGATCTACGACAATGAGTTTCCGCTGATTGAATACGTGGGCAGTGGCAAGCTTTTTGTTGATAGCGTCGAATATGTCGGGAGACTTACCTATTCTCCCGATGCCGACACTTGGAGCAACACCTCTGAAGTGGAAGTGACCGATATATATATATATATATACATAAAGAAGAAAGGAGTTGACAAAAGGTAAGGAACGGAAGCACTCCTCATTAATGGGGGCCATACTTAAACTATATATTGATGGATCTGAGTTGTTATGATTTGTTAACCTTAGTTGTGGTTGGGTTCGCATGATTCGGTTTGATCAGTCCATGACATGGTGCGCTGCGGATGCCAAACGGTCAAAGCAAGGACTCGCATCACGCAAGGCTTTTTGTCACGCTGAGTTACACTCACAGTCTTTCTACCGCACTCTACTTGCACAGTCTTTCTGAACTTCACGATTGCACCACTACTGCAGAGTCTTCTACTTGCAAGATAGGAAGCATCAACGTCCACAGGTTCAATGTGTACATTGCCTTGGTGTCCGAATCTTCTTTTTCTGTCACATCTTAGGACAACATTGCTGACAACGGGCAATTCATGATCGGTAACTTGGGCATTAGTGACACGTGTTTGCCGCTGTTCAGCAGGTTCAAGGAGACTTAAGGTGGCTTAGTCACCGTCACCTGGTGCTTTCAACATCCTGCGTTCAGCCTGCTTTTGATGGTTTGTGGGCCTTCAGGTGGCGGCCACCAAGGGCGGCCAGTTGACTGCGAGATGGCACGCATGAGGCTTTGGTGCCTCAGCGAATGAAGCTAAGGAGTTTGACTGCGTTCCACCCAACTCAGGTTTACCTCCAATGTCCCAAAGGGATAAATCTTTGAATCTGGAATGTTCAGGTACAGTATTGAGTATCGTTTTATGATCCTGACTATATATTATGTTTGGAACAGCAGCTGGCAATACATGTGCCGACGCCAACAGTACTCAACACAGAGATACCGAGAACCCACCGCGGAGAACACGCTTGTTCGAGTGTGCTTTGAGTTAAGGAGCCTCGCTTTGACGCAGGAGCAGAAGTTCAAAACCACAGGGATGTGAGCTTTGCTTCAATGATTTCAGCTTGTCAGATCAAGATTTGTTTAGACTGCAAAGTGGAGCAACTCGTGGACAGGAGCAACTCGTGGAGCTGCAGTCGTGTGACCCACTGGATGTAGAGCAGTTCATCGGGGGGTCTTATCCACACTGCCTCTTCGCAGCAATGACCTGACCTTGATCTCATCGATTCGCCATTGTCTTTTGTCCTTTGCCAAGGATGATGTTACATAGGCACTACGGCCCGATTCAATCTCTCAAACGACACTTGATTGTTCTGTTAGCTTCTTCTCAGACAGGAATCAACACTTTTTGTGGGTTGTGGGATCAGTTGTGGTCCGATGCGGTTCTGTTACTGCATGTGGTTTGTCTCGACCTCCTATCATGCTGCTTAAACACGTCATCTAGAAATAGGCATCACGTAAATCAACGGTAAACTGAGTGGAGTAGCCGCGGTATTGCCCCAATTTGCAGCCTTTGTAGCCCTTTTGCTTTCGCCTTTGCCGCCTTTGCCTCCAATGCGGTGCTGAGCTCTTCATGCCTCCTGGGATTTGAACGGAAACTTCAGCAACAACTTCGGACCCTTGGACAACTTGACGGAGCACAGCGCCTGGGAGGAGCAAACTGGCACAGGCCCTTTGCTTGTGTTTTTTTTCTTCCCTGAAGCCTGAAGCTTTGAATTTCATTATACCAGCAATCTCCAGGGGAAGGGTTTTAGTTTTGAGCTAGCAGCTACTTGTAGCCAAGCCGCATGTAGGTAGCTGAGGGTCAAAAGCGCTAGTTCTGTGTTAAGTTGCAAGGTCACGGGCTTACCTGAGCCATGAGGTATCCTAGTGCTGCGCCATGAGCCAAGTAGTGAGTGCAATAGCTGAGGCAAAGTGACCGGCCAAGAACCACAGAAGTTGCCTTTATTTGTTCCCAGCGCATATTTTTTGACGCCGCATGTCCGATCTGTGATAAAGTGGATTTGTAACTCAGAAGTTTGCAAAGTCGCGTGCAAAACCAGAGTGCTTGCTAGGAGGCAATCACACATGTCAGTATTTTGTCAGGCAGCAATGCAGTGGATGGACTGAACTATCCGTTTTTTGGCCGAAGTATGTTTTGGAATTTCTTTCTGTGGTGAGGATGTAGTGAAGATAGGGCCAGTCTGAAGCAAGCCCACAAAGGGGATGGCGCCACTGACAATCTACCATTTGCTGTTCAACCAGGACTTGACATTTATTTGAGCTAAGTTGCCCACGTGGCCAGCTTGGCCAACCTCCTTCTGGGGGGGTCACCTTCAGTCATGACCAGGATCTAGCTGCTTGCTAACCAGTGATGGTACATAGATGTTTTTAGCCTTGTATGTTGCCAGTCACATGTCCGTGAGTTCCTGAAGCCGTGCCTCGCAGAAAAGAATTGCCACCCAATTATATGCATGAGCATATGTATTTGCTCAAACTTCATGATGAAAGAGCAGGGAAATGCCAGCAGACTGGGGGGCAAAGGCTGCTTGCTCCTAAGGTATTGGAAAAATATCGTCACTGGCGAGGACAACAGCGGCATTCATGCAACAGTTCTCTATTTTCTTGTGTCTAGCACATGCCCACTTCTTGGTATCCGCATGTGGCACTACAGTCTAGTGGTTGTGAACGAGAATATATACAATGTTCATTGGCCAGCCCCCACTTACTTGCATCGTGTTGAAAGCCATGTGGCCAACCAGGAAAAGGGATTGCCCAGGTTTTGACATTGCTTACTGGTGTTACATCTCCGGCTGGGGCAACATCTCCAGCTGGATCCCACGCAAGTCAACTTGTAAGTTATTTTCCGCACATTCTCGGTCATTTGGATGAAGAAAGTTCCCAGTTATGCAAAGTTGCAGCTGAGAGTGGCGCATGCTCGGATATACATGTGTAAGTTACAGAGGAAGGTAGATGAGGTGCACGGGGCGAGAAGATACCTGATTTGAGCGGAGGGTACGCACAGTTTCCGGACGGTGTGCAGATGATTGCGGGTGTGGTGAGAGTGGCTTGCTGATGATATGGGTGTGTGTTAGTTTTTGGGGATGACATGTGCTCAAAAGCAGAACAACTAATATCCAAAAGTAAAGCTTTCTCGAGAAATAGTATTCAAAGCTAGAGACTTCTAGAGAAAAGTATCCACAAGGAGAGATTTCCAGAAGAAAACAACTCAAGTAGAGAATTCCGGAGAAAAGTTCAAGTAGAGATTCTAGAGACATGTATGCAAAAGCAGGGATTTCAAAAGAAAAGCATCTAAGGACAGGGAAAAGTATCAACCACTGAAGGCAAACTAGAGATTTCTAGAGAAATGTGAGCAAAGTGTCCAGAAGTAGAGATTTCTAGAACAACGCTAGAAACGTGTGCGATCGTAGGGATTTCCATTAGCAAGCATTCAAAAGTATGTTTTCTGCCCGTGTTGTTGAAGTGGTGCATGCCTGCAGCTGGTCAAGCCGAAAAACGGTGAAGTGGACCGCATCGTTCGCCAAAGCACACTCAACGCGCTACACTTCACACTTCACCAACCACTTCACCATCCCGCATACCCGTCAAAGTACGGCGCACATCACATACATCACTATGCACTTCATCACGGCTGAAATCACCTTGCGACACTTCATACATGTCATCAAGCACGACTGTTTTTCACATACATATCATTACACTGTCAATGCAGCTATCTCTGATTGAATGCAGTGATTTTCATTTGATATGTTTTGCCAGGATGAATCGCCGTCCGCAACTCATTTTCCATTCTCAAATGTATGTGCCCCCTCGGAAGGGCCCTTGAGTCGACCCGGCAACGACATTGCCGACATTGTGCGGAAAATCATCGCTTTTGAGCGCATCTTCGAGATCCCACTTTGGACTTCGTGAGTCAAAGTATTTGAGATTGGTAGCGGAGCCGGACACGCTCCTCCCGGCCTTTGATAAGGGTGCCACTTTTTGTTTGAAGTTACCTACGGGGTCATCCTTGCCGGTAAGGGTACGATCATCTCAAAGATCGTGTTCGGCTGAAGTCAACAAATGAGTGGCCAGCAGAGAAGACAGAGAGAAAGAAGAGATGAAGTTGTTGATGAAGAAAGAGCTCCTCCTGACGTTCCTGTACCTCCTTCACCGACGAGACCCAACGGCTCCAATGGTGGAGCCAGCTATGGAAACAACCGTGGCTTGGACAGTGGTCTTGCGAAGGCAGCCCCTTCTGCCGATGGTTTGACACAGAGCACCTACAGGAGCTACAGGCGACGACTTGAGCTTTACTCGCTTCAGTGCCGACGTCGTTCACAAGACGCTGAGGTGGAGGGAGCTTTGCTTGTTGTGAGCTTGTTGAAGGACACCGCATGGGACGCAGCAGAACAGCTTGATCTTCGAGAGATCACCTCAAGCTCTACTCCATTTGAGCCTGTGCTGCGCATGATGGACCAGCTTTTCCAGTATGAGGAGCAGATTGAGGTTCCCTATAGGTGCGAAGAATTTTTCCAGTCCTTCAACCGCCAGAAAGGAGAGGAGCTACAAGCCTATCTTATCAGGCATCGTACCGCCCTCAAGAAGCTTCGTGAAGTGAAGATTGAAATCCCTCCTTTGCTTGCGGGTTGGCATCTTCTCACTCGATCCGGCACTCCCAAATGGACACATGTGCAGGTGAAAGCTTTGTGTCATGGAGAGCTGAACTATGATGATGTTCATCGAGCCCTTCTTCGTATGTTTGGTGGTGACCATAAGCCCAATGTCAAAGACATCAGTCCTGCAAGCAAGAACTACAAGGACGACCTGTTCTTCGAGGAGGAGGTTGACGAAGAGTTCTATGAAGGTGAAGAAGAAGATGAGTGGTATGAAACATACTACGAAGATGAAGATGATGATGAAGAGATTCCAGAAGACCTTGAGCAGGCCTACGAAGCAGTTGATGAGGCCTACATCACCTACCTGGAGTCACGAAAAAGAATGAAAGAACTGGCCTTGGCTCGTGGATTCTACCCCATCGTGGCCATTGGACCAGACTACGATTCCGGCAGAAGTCACAAAGGAGCCGGAAAAGGAAGTTCGAAAGGCAAAGGCAAAGCCTCAAAAGGAAAGGGGTCAAAAGGAAAAGGCAAAGGGAAGCCATTCTTTCCAAGACGGCCTATGCATGGTCTTCGAAAGCCTACCACCTCGACCTCTACCGGATCTTCTGAAAATCGCTCTACCTTGTCAGGTTCAACTTCGCAGCACGGTCCAAGATTCAAAAGATACCGTGTGCAATCCCAAGGTGTGAAAGAAGTTGGAGGTGAGGAAGTCACCATGGCAGAAGATCAGGAAGCTGAAGAATGTCTTCAAGAAGAGATCTACTTTGCAACGCTCACTCCTGGTCATGCCATCGTGGATTCTGGAGCAACGAGGACTCTGGTGGGGGAAGAAGTTTGGAAAGAATGGGTTGAAAAGTACAATCCACAGATCCTTGGACCCTTGACGACCAATGCCCAACGAAGATCTTTCAAGTTCGGAGGTGGTGAAACTTTGGAATCTTCGTATGAGATCAACTTCAATGCATTGGTCAAAGGACAACGCCTTCCCGTGACCGTCTCCATCGTGCCAGGCAACACTCCTTTTCTTTTGGCAAGACCATTGTTGGAAAAATGGGAAGTGAAACAGGACTATGCAACTGGTTCCATGAAAGTGGCCCAATCTGAATGGTTCAATCCTTCTCGTGGCAAAAAGGGTCACTATGTGTTGAACCTCTTGGACTACGAAAGTGCTGAACAAGACGACCCTATGCTGTTCGCCATGGAGGAAGAATCGGAAGTTGTGCTCAGCCACTTCGAGATCGAACCTGTCATGGAAAAGGAACCAGTGAATGTTCATGAACTCATCTTCATGGAGACCGATGACAATGAAGTCCTGGCCATTTCCAACGAGATTGTCAAAAGAATGCAGCAAGATCGGAAGCTGATCTTCTTCGAAGTGTTTGTGGACAAAGGAAACTTGGCAATGGAACTGGCAGCAAAATATCCTGATTGTGAAGTCTCCACCTTCAGTTTGCCAGATTGAAATTTTGACAAGTTGGCAACAAGAGAAGCTTTCGTTCAACTGGTTCGCGACATGAAGCCTCACTTCATTTGGTGTGCACCTCCTTGCACAAAATGGTCTCCGATACAACGACTGAACATGGTCCGTGGTGAAAAGTTAGCTCAAATCCGGAACATACAAGATGAAGAAGAGAAGAGCTACTTGAAAATGATCGGTGACCTGATGGCCATTTGTTGTGATGAGACAAATACCGGAATGGCAATGGAGCACCCACACCTGGCTATGTCATGGAAGACAGAAACTATGGAAAGCATGCCTGGTCTTGATGCTGTATGCAACCGATGTCAAACAGGACTTCGCTACGTGGACAAAGCTGGCTTGGTTGTTGGAAAGGTGAAGAAACCCACACGCATCAGGACAAACAGTGACTTTGTTTTTGAAGCTTTGGATCTTCCTTGCACTTGCCCACCTGGTGTTCATGTTGCCATGGATGGAAAGTCCACCAGCTTGAAGGAAATGCAAAACTACGAACCTGGTTTTGTGAAAAGAGCAGCCAGTGCTATCTACCATGACATGGAGGAACGCTGGCGGCAACGAGAGATGTGCAAAGTCTTCGTCACTGAGGAACTTGCTGATGAAGATCTTCCCAAAAGCCTAACCAAAGTCACTGAAGAAGAGAAGAAGCTGGTGAAAACTCACGGCAAACAAGCTTGGCAAGTTGTCAACAAGTTGCATCGTCAACTCGGTCATCCAGGTGTAGATCGGATGGTCAAGTCTTTGAAGGATGCTGGCATGGATGACAACATTATTCGCTGTGCTCGAGAATACAAGTGTGATGTTTGCGAACAACAAGCCCAGCGCAAGCTTGAGAAGCCAGCCTCTTTGCCACAGTGCTCGCATTTCAATGAATGCCTTGAAGCTGATGTATTCCACATCCGCTGGAACAATGAAAAGAAAAAGATCTTGGCAGTTCTTGATGTGTACTCCAAATACGAAATCAATGCCATCCTGGACCGTGAAACTGAAGAAGCCGAACTTCGTGTCCTTCAAGATCTTTGGATCAATGTGTTTGGACCTCCTGAAAAGTTCCGAACAGACTCCTCTGGTGCCCACATGAGCCAGAAGTACCTCGACTTCTTTGACAAGAATGGCATCAAACTCATCCTGGTGCCAAAAGAGGCTCACTATCGTATGGGCACAGTTGAACGCTTGCATGCCGTTCGTCGTCTTCAGCTCCTGAAGATGCAACAAGAAGAACCAAATCTGTTGCTAGAAGACGCAGTGCTTGCAGCTTGTCATCAGAGGAACCGCCTCAGAACTGTATCTGGAAGTTCACCATACCAGATTGTTTTTGGACACAATCCACGCTCCAATGGTCTTTTGGATGAGCCAGTTGATCTTCGACCACCAGATGACATTAGCAATCATCAAGCAGACCAAGCTTTGAGACATCTTGCAGCCAAAGCATTTTTTGAAGCAAACAACAGCCAGTTGCTCAAGAGAGCTCTTCTTGCACGACCCAGGTCTGAACATGCTCCAGCACAACTTGGGGATTGGGTCTACTATTGGAGACAATCGGATTCCAAGCTTGATCCCACACGCTGGCGAGGACCTGCCCTTGTCTGTGCCATCGAACCTCGAAGTCAAGAAACTGGTGTTTTGCGTGCAAGTGTCTACTGGTTGGCTCATGGAAGCTCTTTAGTTCGAGTTGCTCCCGAGCATATTCGTCCAGAAGTGGCTCGCGAGCGTTCACATCGCTTGAATGAGCAACCCTCCACTGCTTTGACCACTGGCATCCGAGATCGTGTCCTCCAAGCCTTGCAGCCGGCACAGGGTCCGGTCAGATTTCTTGACCTTGCCCCCCGTGAATCCTTTTCGAATGCCAAGGAGTCGAATTCTGTGGTGCAATCTGTAAACTCGGTGCAGCCTCCAGCGGAGGACCATCCAGACACGGAAATGCTTGAGCCACTTGAGCCTCAACAAACAGCGGCAGCAGCGGAACAAACGACATCGGCAGCGGCAGAACACCCAGCGGCAGCTGCAGAACACGAACCACCGGCAGCAGCAGAAAACAAACCACAACAGGAAAGAGAGGCTGACCAGAATGAACAAAGACCAAGTCAAGAACAGGATGCATCGAGACGTGGTCGATCCCGAAGTCCACCTCCACGGGATGAAAGACATCTAGCTTTCGAGAACCTCTTCGAGTCATACAACCAAGCTCGCAAGATCGATGGCTTGCCTCCCGTCTCTCGTGAAAATCCTCAGTTGTTGGCACAGTATGAAGCCATGATGGAAGAAGAGTTGGTTTCAACAGAAGAAGGACTTCTTGCAGCCACCTTCAGCGAGAAGAACCTCACTCCCGAGCAAAAGGCCGAGTTCGCTGAGGCTCGGAACAAAGCTTTGGATGTTTGGTTTGAGAATGAGGCCTGGCGACCCGTCGATGCTAGTGAAGCAGCTCCTGGAGAAGCCGTGCCAGCAAGATTCCTTCAGAGGTGGAAGCCCACCAAAGACGGCTTCAAAGCAAATGCCAGGATCATCATCCAAGGCTTCAAGCACAAGGACGTCTTGGAAAGCACGGTTGACAAGGAAGCTCCAACTCTTTCCATGGTTGGCAGAAGCTCAGTCTACCTGATGTCCACCACCAAGCGCTGGAAGCTTTGGAGTGCAGATGTGAAGTCAGCTTTCCAGCAGGCGGACAACATAGAAGGTGAAGCACGTGTTTTCATCCAGCCTTCAGCCGAGATCCGTAGGTTGTTGGAACGAAAGATCGGCCTTCGTCCTTGGCAGATCATGCGTGCTTCCAAACCTGCTTTTGGAGATTGCCGAGCACCTCGACAGTGGAATGCAACAGCACACCATTTTTTGACAGAAGAGCTTGGAATGATTCCTCATCCCTTGGACCGCTGTCTTTACCTCAGTGTGAGAGCAGCTACTTCCGAGGACCCTGAGTTCGATGTGTTTCAATTGGATGGTGTGGCAAGCATTGTTGATGGTGTTTTTGGGCTCCACGTTGATGATTTCATTGGAGCAGGTGAGCAGTTTTTCAGCGAGAACGACCTGAAGAAGGAATGCCACTATGATGAATGTTTTTTGGGTCGCATGCTGAAGCTGTCAAAACGCTTTCGTTTCGGTTCATGGGATTTTGGAAAAGGCTCAAAGATCAACTTCTGTGGAGCAGAGCTACAGCAGTCTTTGGATTTTTCCACAATCAGTGTGAGCTTGGCAACCTACATACACAAGATCAAGCCCATCACAGTTGACAAGAGCCGCAAAACCATGTCGGACTCGCCGTGTGATGAGAAAGAACAACGACAGTATAGAGCACTCATTGGAGCTCTTGCTTGGCCAGCTCACCAAAGCATGCCGGAACTTTGTGCCAGCGTAAGCTTGCTTCAAGCTGCAGCCAATGGTCCATGTATCAACGACCTCAATCAGGCCAACAAGTTGCTGCGCTTTGCAAAAGAAATAGGGAAGGACCATGAGCTCCGAATGCGTGCACCTTGTTCATTTGAAGATTTGTGCATAGGTGCTTACACAGACGCTGCATGGGCCGTCCGGCCCGATGGGACGAGTCAGGGTGGACTTCTCATTTTTGTCTGCTCGCATGCTGAACTCCAAACTGGACAACCTATGGCTCTCAACGTGTTTTTCTGGAAATCACAAAAGTTGAACCGTGTTTGTCGCTCCAGCATGTCAGCAGAAGCACAGGCAGCAGCAATTGCAGTTGATGAATTGGAATGGTGCAAAGTGTTTGTAGCAGCGTTGTTGAATCCCACCTTGGCCATTGAAGGCCAAGAAGCTTTGCAAAAGTTGGGAAGCTCACCAGTGGTGACTGATGCCAAGTCACTGTACGATGCTGCTCGATCCATAACTCCCAGTTCCAAGCTGAGCGAGAAGAGAACCGCAATAGAAATCGCGATCATTCGCGATCGGATGCAAGCTCTGGATGGTCAATGGATGTGGGTGAACTCGCATCAACAAGTCTCAGATGGATTGACAAAACCTGCAGCCAAGGAAAGTCTCTCCTACATCCTGAAGCGTGGAACTCACCAGCTCAAGTTCAACCCGGACTTCATTGCAGCAAAGAAGGTCAACCAACAGGAAAAAGAACAAGAAAAGCAACGACATGAGGCATATTCAAAAGAGTTGGAAGAAAACCAGATCTTCAACGCCGAAGAAGCCTACATGTGCGATGGTGAAACTTGCTTGCTTCCCGGTTGCAACAAAAAGAGAAATAGTGATGACTCCAGAAATCGATACTGCAGCCGTCGTCATTTTTATGCTCACAAAAGTTGTTTAGGAAAGCAAGAAGCGTGGCGGCAGGCGGCTTTGACCTCAGTTGCTCTCCTCATGACAGAGCAGCTTCCCTGTGCCGAAGGAACAAATGGAGAAGGAGCTGAACAAAACCATTGGATTGCAGTTTTGATTTCCTTTTTGGTCATCATGTTCTTTGCCCTCATTGGTTTTGACACCGTCCTCCGTTCTTTTGGCATTGAGACCTTCATGTACAAGGTCTTCAGCTCTGTTTTTGAGAAGGCAAAGGTTTTCCTAAAGGTGAATTCCGAGTTGCCTGAACTCGAGGATCTCCCTGCGAATGTCCCAGACTCTGTGAATGAAGCCAGCCAATCGAGCCATGGCGTTGCAGCTGGGCCGTTCGAGAATGATGAGGTGATTCTGAATGCCTTGACCTTGGCCAGGCGTCCAGGCCTGGATGGCGGCAGCTCGACCTGCAACTCGGAGTCCGAATTGGAAGATGAAGAATGGCAGCGCTGGACCAAGTTGAAACAAATTGTGATGCACGAGCGTCACCAGGCGCCATACCGCCAGTTGCTGGCGGAACTTGAAGACAATGACAGTCCTTTGGATCGTCAGACTCGACTCATCCTGACCTCCGAAGGGTACACGACACAAAGATGGAGAAAGTTTAGCCAACTCCTCAAAGCTCAGAACACCACCAACTTCACTGATGAGCAAGTGAAACAATGGCATCGAATGTGGAATGACAACCTGTGCTTCCTGGCGGACGTGAACAGGAAGATCACCATGCAGAGGAACCGAATCCTCCAGCTGGAACGAAAGGACCAACTTCGTGCTCAGCACCAAGAAGGCGATTTGAAAGATCGAATGTGTCAAACGCCAAACACCTTCATCACTGGCACTCGACCAAGACTTCTCCCGACCGGCTCACATGGAGCTTGGGAATTTGTGAATGATTTAGTCGACAGGACTTGAACTTGAAGATAGATGGGCCAGAAATGTTTTTGAATTTTCTCCTGCTGCAACGCTCCCTTAGATAAGTCAAAAGACTCTTGGGCGTGTCAATGCAGCTATCTCTGATTGAATGCAGTGATTTTCATTTGATATGTTTTGCCAGGATGAATCGCCGTCCGCAACTCATTTTCCATTCTCAAATGTATGTGCCCCCTCGGAAGGGCCCTTGAGTCGACCCGGCAACGACATTGCCGACATTGTGCGGAAAATCATCGCTTTTGAGCGCATCTTCGAGATCCCACTTTGGACTTCGTGAGTCAAAGTATTTGAGATACACTTCATTCTTTCGCAACGCAACAAGTCAGCGCATCGTACATTTTCAGGCACATCTCATGCCGTAACGGATCTCATCATCACACCACCTGACGCAAAAACTGACGCTTTCTGTAGTTTTTTTTGTTTTTTACATTTTTTGACTCATCTGACCACCTGTGCCCTAGCTTCCTGTACCTGGTATTGTAGCCCAACTGGTCAGTTTGTCAATCTGCAGGCAGTCCAAACCTTTGCGCAGAGCATGAAGCATCACCTGAGCCGGCTGAATGGTGGTGACTTTATTCGAGGCCACAAACCGAAGAAGGACTGCAAATGCCGATAGTCATCGTAAATTTTGTTGAATCTCTATATGGGCGCAGAATAGCAAAAACTAACTTGTGGACGCGCAGCGGGAGTGAGGCGAGACAGAAATCTGTGAGCCCAGCCAGGTGGCGTTTGCAATTTCGATGCTTGTCCATCCATCTCCCCACAGAACTTGTGCCCGTTGGAACGATCTGTTCGCTTTATGAGCATCGAGGAGTGCGAGGCGGCTTCGGGCCATTTTGTTGTTGGTCAAGACTACAGAACAAAGATGAACCACGACTAGCTCAAATGGACTATTCTAGTAACAAGAAGCTATTAGAAACAAGTGCATCGCTACTAGTAACAAGTGCCTTACTAGTAGTAACAATGTTCGCTATTGGAAACAAGAATAGCCACACATTGAAACAACGCAGATCGACCAGGCTTTTGCATCCTTCAACTACTGCCGGCTCTCTGGAAGCACACGCAATCGGCCGAAGCTTGGGATTCAAGAGATTTGGGCGAAAGTGGAGGATTCATTCAATACATTTGAGGCAATCGAAGCTTTTTTGACCTGGTTTAGAATGCTTTGTTTGATCAATTTTTGTCAAAAAGAAATCCTGCCCCTCAAAGATGGACCTTCTTTGTCTGCTGAGTCCTCATTTCCCAGTGCCTCATCCGACTCATCCATGGTATGCAGGTTTTGGGATATTATCTGGTGTCCGTAGATCCTCATAGTCTGTTACTGGAGATGGAGATCCAAAATCGTAGCCATATTGATGACATGTCTCTTCTGTTGAATGAAGAGAGTGCTGCTGCATAGCTAAGGAGCATGCCACATCTTGATGGCTGTCATATAGGTCCTGAGTAGCACCGAGTCTCTAGACAATGCGCAGGCTTTTGCTTTGCTCACAATTGGAATCTCAGGAGGGATCGCCCTGGCATGTCCTTTTCAAACCAGATCAACGAAGATCATTTTCTGCTGCACGAGGCAAAGCCATGAATACAGCATTATTTTCCAATCATTCTTGCGGCATTACCTGCTTGGGGTCGAGGGATCAGAAGCGTAGACGAACAGAAGTTGTATCATTGGTGATGCTGCTCGGTTAACGAGCATTGGCGAGCTCAGGAGAGGCTTTCAATGCAATTTGTTAGTGCCCAGTCATCAGGTGGAAATCTTTAAAAGCTCAGTACCTGATGTGTAGCAGTGCTGGCGTTGCGTCCAGTGTTCAGAAGAAGTCATGTGACATGTGTGATGCTTGAACAGCTCGGAAGAAGTGATGTTGGCAACTTGATTTCCCTACCAAAATACCACAACTTGGTAGTTTTGACAGCGTTGTTGCGACTCTAACTATCGGACACGGAAAGCATTGGACACTGCAAGCGTAGACGGACATAGGCTACATAGGACTTAAAAAGGGTCCAGTGAGTCTTCCCATGTTGTGTTTTCGATTCGCTGCCAAGTTTTTGGATGCTTTTCAACTGTTTGTTTGCAGAGCATTTTTGGCTCAATAAGGGAAGGAAACTTTCTTGCTTTGGTGTCAGATGGCGTCCACAAGAGAGGCCGCTTGACAGTCGGTTCACACACCAGACTTGGGCATGCCTCATTAATTTTAAGGTAGATTTCCGTGCATAGCTTAAAGTATTGCATAAGTCGATCGGCACTGTGCTGCACTGGTCATCAAAGATAAAAGCGGTCAAGACACGGGAGTCATGTCACCTTGAGAAGAACATTGTTCAATTGCGACTTGGTTGTTTCCTGTTGTTTCTGCAGCAACAGGTGCACATCTCACCAACAAACAATGTGGCCGCATCGCTTCTGGGCAAGAAGCGGGAGAGCCGCAGGGCTGATGCCAGCTGTCTGGGGATTGCAGTCTTGTTGTGTTTGTTTTTCATGTCAGTGTTTGCAGGAGTTGGCCTTCGCCCAATCATTCTTTGGTTGGGCAAGCAGCCAAATTGACAAGATCATTCCTCACAGATTCACAAAGGTAGAAGTATATGATGTAGAAGTTATCAAGCTTGCTGAGCCCTGAGAAGACTGACATTACTGCAAGCTTTGTGCTAATGTGGAGTTTGGAGATGTATGAACACTTCATGTTTGGTGCAGCCCAAAACAGGAGAAATAAGTACGTAAAGATCTAAATAATCCCAGGTGTTTGCATTACCATCACAAGCAAAACTTCTTGGAGCACTCAAGAGCTTCTACTATTCAAAGACAAGTTAAGAACAACATTTAACCGGATTGCGAGTAAACTTGAAACACACCATTGCTGAAATCAGATGATATTTGTGGAATCCATCCGAAAGGGCGTGTGAGACAACCGCACTCCAAATCAATTTAGAACTTAGTAACTGTCGATTGAGCCACAATGTCGCTCACGTGCACGAAGAATCCAAGGACTGGGAGCCCAAAGACCGCAGAGGGACAGCACGAGTGGGATCCAGTGACGAGGACGTGACAGACGTGAGGCCTTTGCGAAAGTTTAGGCTTCAAGTTGAAAGGTGTGATCTACCTAGGCCATTTCTCATTCCAAGTGTCGCACTGCATAGGCACGTCGTAGAGCCCAAAAAAGGTCAGACAAGCCAAACTTGAGCAGGTGGTCTAAAGGAGGTTAGAAGCTCAAGAGCGACCACCCTTGCAACGCTGCCAAAGACACCTCTCACCAGGAAGAAGGTGACGTTCACTCCCAAGATGCCCCCGGGTTTGGAGAACTTGGACAAGTCTACACCCATGTGCCAGGGCGGCAGGGTCAATGCCGATTTTCGTGATGTGGACCCTCTAGACTCTAAACTGTGGATGTTCTTTGTCAAGAATTGCTACAGAATATTGCATTGCCAGAATCCTTATGCATGTTGCTTCACGGAACTTGCAACTTGCAACTTGCAGTTCCATCGCAACTTGCAGAATAATGTCAGAGTTGCACTAGATTCACCACAACTTTGACGTGTTCTTCTTTTCCAAAAAACAAGACGACACACACTGGATCCAATTGCACCTCGGATCCAAGCCCTCGGTCTCACCCAAGGTACGTACCAGTGGAAGAAGATGTTGCCTGGTGCCGCTCCACCGCCTCAGGAAGTGCTCCCGAAAGCTCTGAGGAGGAGGTGAGAAGGGGCCCTTTGAATATCATAAAGTCTGAATGAGCCACACATGGTTTCAATTGTTTTCATCTTGAACAGTTCGGTTCTAAGAAACATATCCAAACAATATGTTCTTTCCAGCACATTCCCAATTTAAGCGGTCAGGCCTAGGCTTGGCTTGTCCATTTTTGATTGTTGCATGGTGAGGCAGAAGGGGAGAAGCAGGATGTCATCAATGATGAGGACCTGGATGCCCCTAGCCTTGAGAGCAGATGATGCCTTGAAAGGTCATTAGGTCCACGACAGAGACTAAGACAGGAGAAACCATCGGGATCACCAGAAAGGCACACTAAAGTGCATTATAGTGTAATACAATATAATGTACTATTGTGAATTTCGAACCTTTCCAACCAGGTCCAGAAGGTTCACCATCCTTGCCCGCAGACCTTAGGCACGAGGTCGTAGGGCGGCGTGGGCGGGCCTTGCATGGTCTTGATCCAAAGTCGGTGAGGACACCGACGAGAGTTCCGAAGTGGTGAGGACACCACCGTTCGTTCAAGCAGAGGCGGCTGAAAACAAGGTTGGGCACTGGGAGGTGCGCTGTTTGCTAGTTGAGTTGCAAGCTTGGTTGTGTTGCTTAGCGCAAGGTGCGCTGTTTGCAAGTTGTTGCTACCAACTGTGAATTCCACATTGGTAGCGGAGCATCCGCTCCTGCTCCAGCTGTCAGAGAACTGCGACGCTTGATCTTGTTGGCTTGACGTCGAGTTGCACTTGAAGCATTGTACATTGGCGTGTGAGGTCACTGCTTGTACATTGGTCGAGTTGGCAAGTCGTTAGCAACATTGATACATTGAGTTGTGGTTGGTTGACATTGCTACATTGGATTGGTGCTTGGTTGAGCATTGATTACATTGATTGCAGTGCAGTTTTGTTGACAGCTCCTCACCATGAGCGGTTCCAGGGAGGAAGGGGGTTCGACTGGATCCTCAGGAGGTGGCTTGAGCCATCTTCCATGGAATCAGGTGCCGCAGTTTAAGCCTGGCGAGACAGACTTGACTGAGTGGACGAAGAAGGTCGAGTTCCTGGCTCAGTTGTGGCCACCTGAGCATTTGCAGCACTTGGCACCTCGCATAGCCCTTCAGTGCGAGGGATCTGCCTTTCAAAGGGTTGCTCGTTTGGATCCCAAGACTTTGCGTGTTGGCAGCCTGGAAGGCGTGAAGTCCATTGTTGAAGCTCTTGGAGGCATCTGGGGAAAGTCGAACCTCGAGAGCAAATTCGAGAGGTTCGAAAGGGCCATCTACGGAACAGTTCAAAGGTCAGATGAGACCAACGAAAGTTACCTGGCCCGGCATGATCACCAGTTTGAAGAGTTGTTGGGTATGAAGGTTGGCATTGACGAATTCAGAGCATACATCTTGCTGCGGAATTCCGCCTTGAGCTCCGAGGACAAGAAGAGGTTGATCGTTGAGTCCTCAGGGTCTTTGGAATACAGAGATGTTGTGTCCAACCTCAAGTTGCTCGGCAGCAAGTTCTTCCAAGAGGTGCATGCTGGAAAGGTCACAGGAGGTCGAACGAAGACCTACGAGGCCAATGCATTCATGGCTCAGGACACCATGGGAGGTGACGCCATGCCAGAAGATGCTGCGTTTCAGGCGGAGGACTGGAACGAAGAAGAGCTGATTGAACAGTGGGCCAACGAAGGAGACGAGGACGCTGCATTGGTCATGGAATATGAACAGTCGATGTTGGATGCCATCCAGGACGACGCCGACTTAGCATTGTCGTCAACGACCTATGCTGAAGCCCGCAAGAGATTGGCAGATCGTGTGAAGAATCGTGGATTCTGGCCTTCAAGTGGTGCCAAGGGAAAATCCCGTGGCAAGGGCTGGGAGAAGGGCAAAAAGGGCTACTCGGGGAGTCGAAACCCGGGAAACCGAAAGACTCTCCAACAGAGGATCCTAGAGAGCTCATGTCGCCTTTGCGGCCGCCGTGGACACTGGAAAGCCGAATGCCCAGATCGCGGACGATCCTCAGAGGCCAACACGGCCACGGCTCCCACGCTGGTGACTTTGGAGGAAGGGATTGATGCCCTTCCACTGGAGTTTCTTGAGCTTCCAGAAGAGCCCATCGCAACTGTGCCTGTTTTGTCAAATTTTTCGTGTTTTTTGGGATCACAGGGGATTCGTATCGGGGATAATGACGGGGAGGTCATTGAGAAACCTGATACTGGGAAAGATGAACTCATGCATGAATTCAGGAATAGAGCATCCAAGCCGCCTCTAGCAGAGATTTTGACCAGCTCAAGTGAATCAACGTTGAGCCGACAGCCTGAAGCCGATGCCAAGTCGCATTTTGCGATCTCAAATTCGCTAGGTATCATCGATACAGGAGCCACCAAGACAGTCATAGGAAGCTGCTTCGTGGCCGGATTGATCAATAATCTGTCAAAGGAAGTTCGACAACAGGTGTCAAGGTGTCCATGTCATGTCAAGTTTCGTTTTGGAAACCATGGTACTCTTGAAAGTCATCATGCATTGGTTGTGCCCATCGGAAAGCTGAAGTTGAAGATAGCCATTGTACCAGGTATGACACCGTTTTTGTTGTCGAACACGCTGTTCCGAGCCGTCGGCGCCACGATTGACACTCGCCAGGGTTTGCTTCACAGTTCATTGTTGAAAAGATCCATCCCCATCCAGGTCAACTCACGAGGATTATACGTCCTAGACTTGAATGAACTGGCCAAGCCCTGCAGTGACACCTCGGCCGAGAGCTTTGCAGACACGTTCCATGTGTCCGAGACGCAAAAGGGGCCGGCAGTTAGCAAGCCTCGAGAAGACAGACATCAAACAAATGAAAACGATAAGACAT